CTTGCTGCAGCTAGTCGGTCTCCTGCTGCTGCAGCTGCTGCTGTTGCTGCTGTTGTTGCTGCTGCTGCAGAAGAAGAAAAAGAAAAAGAAACAGAGCGGTTGTTGCTGCTGCTGTTGCTGCTGTTGCTGCTGCTGCTGCTGCTGCTCTCGGGTGTATAGACAGCTGTGAGGCGCAGCCGATGGTGACGGCCGAGCGCAGCAGAAGAGACACCAAATGCTGCTGCTGCTGCTGCTGCTGCTGCTGCTGCTTCTGCTGCTTCTGCTGCTGCAACAAAAAGAAAAAGAGTAAACAGAAGAAAGGCCTCAACAAAGCCAAAAGAAGAGAGAAAGGAGACAGCCAAAAGGAGACACCTGAAAAGGAGACACCAAGAAGGAGACAGTTTTTTGTTTCACTCAGCAGCAGTATAGAGACAAAGAAGAACGAGTTTATGTTGTTGTTTTCTTTTTATTATATAATATATATTATATTAATTATATTATATAAAATAAAACAACAAAAAGGAGACAAAGAGACAGCGAAAGTAGCTAGCTGAGGATACACCGCAATGACCCTCCACGAGCGGGAGCCAGCCATAGTTAAGCGCTGGTGCTGCTGCTGCTGCTGCTGCTGCTGCTGCTGCTGCTGCTGCTGCTGCTGCTGCTGCTGCTGCTGCTGCTGCTGCTGCTGCTGTAGCTGTATGCGGTGGAGGCTAGTGTCTTCTTTGTTCTTTTTGTGTTATTTTTGTTAATTTAGTCAAAATAAGGTAAAAAGAAAAAAAGAAAAACAAAAAAAACACAAAACACCCAGCGCTGTATTCAAGCTGCCTGTACACCGCAGCCCTGGTGTTGCTGCTGCTGCTGCTGCTGCTGCTGCTGCTGCTGCTGCTGCTGCTGCTTTTGCTCCTTGGCTCTCTCTCTCTTGTTTTTTTTTCTCTTTGTCTCTAAACTTTTATTATTACTGGCGAAGCTGAAAACGCGACAACCAGCAACTCCCTGCACAGCAGCAGCAGCAGCATCATCATCATCAGCAGCAGCAGCAGCAGCAACAGCAGCAGCAGCAGCAGCTGCAGCAGCAGCTGCAGCGACAGCAGCAGCTGAGCGTGGAGATGCCCCGTCTTCTCTCCCCCCGCGACCCGTCTGCTGTTTCTTCTCAGGGGGGCCCCCGTGCCTCCTCTAGACTGTACCCTATACCCACGCGGGGGCCCCCTAGCCCTTCTCTCTAGCGCTGCAGCAGCAGCAGCAGCAGCAGCAGCAGCAGCTGTAGCAGCAGCTGTAGCAGCAGCAGCAGTAACAGCCCAGCCACTGAGGGGCCCTTGAGGCCTTCTCTCTAGTGCTGCAGCAGCAGCATCAGCAGCAGCGGCAGCAGCAGTAGCCGCTGCAGCAGCAGAATCACCAGCAGCAGCAGAATCACAGGAAGCAGCTGCAGCAGCAGCAACAGATTCATCAGCAGCAGCTGCAGCTGCTGCAGCAAGAGCAGCAGCAGCAGCAGCAGCAACAGCAGCAACAGCAGCAGCAGCAGCAGCAGCAAGAGTTGAGTATACTGCTGACAATGAGCAGATCCGTTGGCCCCCTGAAGGGGAAGGAGGAGCGGCTGCTGCAGCCGATGGCATCTGCTGCTGCTGAAGCACCGAACAGCAGCAGCAGCAGCAGCAGCAGCAGCAGCAGTAGCAGCAGCAGCAGCAGCAGCAGCAGGGATTCTGGCGGTTTACTATCTGGTGGTGTACGTGATGGTTTATTATCGGGTGTATCGCTATCGGATGCATCTCCAGCAGCAGCAGCAGCAGCAGCAGCAGCAGCAGCAGCAGCAGCAGCAGGAGGTGGTAACGCCGATGCAGCAGCAGCAGCAGGAGGAGGACCTGCTGCAGCAGCAGCAGCTGAGTCGCAGCTGCGAGGGTACATGTACGGGCAGCTAGCAAACGTCGCCAAGGCAGCAGTATGGTGGGGTTCTTTTGGTGTTTTATCTGTCTCTCTTTGGGGGGGCCCCCTGGGTGTGGGGGCCCTTCGTCTTGCTTTTAATATAGCATTGATTCTGGTGTCTCCTGCTGCAGCAGCAGCAGCAGAACGTTTGTCTGTGAAGAGGCTGCTGCTGCTGACGACGATAGGTCGGTGTTTAGTATGGAGTTTGTTGCTTCCTGGTGCCTGGATTGGGGTGTATATACACCTGAATAAACCTATATTATTTTGTGTTGCTGCTGCTTGTCTTGTATTTATTGATGGTGTCTTTGTTAGTTTAGCTAATGTTGTCGATGCAGACTGTGGGGGGATAGATGCTGTTGCTGCTGACGCGGAGACAGCAATAGGAGACAGCACAAGAGAGAGACTGATGCGGCTACATAGACTAACCTTTGATGTCTCCTTTGTCTTCTTTACTGCTCCTGTTGCTCTGCTGCTGCTGCTGCTGTGGACCAGCTGCAGCAGCTTACAGACTCTGCTGCAGCAGCTCTTACAGCTGCTGCAGCAGCAGCAGCAGCAGCAGCA